CAGCCAGGCATGGTGGTGTGAACGTCTGGTCCTAGCTGCTCTTGAGGCTGAGGCGGGAGGATCACTTGGGTCCGGGAGGTCAAGGCTGCAGTGAGCTGTGATCATGCCACTGCACTCCAGCTTAGGTAACAGAGTGAGACCTTGTCTAAAAAAAAAAAAAAAAAAAAGCCAGTAGTTACTAAAAACTTGGCACGTCCAGTTGGTGTTAAAGTCGTGTTGCAGTTCACTCCTCCACTCTCTTGCTGATGGGCTTTTGGGTCGGCCCTGATTTTTTGTTACTGCGAATAGTGGCTGCCGTAAGACGTCCTCGGGGTTGAAAGTCACCCAGACAGGAGCCTGTCCGAGTTGCAAGCTAAAAGCAGAAACCCTTTCTTGGTGGTAATCCAGTTGCTCCCTGGGGTTGGTGTTAGCTGGAAAGGGTAAGCCTTTAAGTCTGGTTAGAATTTTGATCCCTTGTTAATAGGCGGGCAGGCAGTTTGCAGGACGTGGAGGAGCGAAAGGGCAAGTGGAAGTACATAAGTGGTTATGTTGTCAGGGAAGTCACTTCTTTCGTGCCATATTATCTGGAAAGTGCCACCATCCCCACTGCCTTGAAGTTTTTATTTTTATTTTATTTTATTTTTTGAGACAGAGTCTCGCTCAGTCACCCAGGCTGGATTGCAGTGGCGCGATCTCGGCTCACTGCAAGCTCCACCTCCCGGGTTTACGCCATTCTCCTGCCTCAGCCTCCTGAGTAGCTGGGACTACAGGCGCCCGCCACCGCACCTGGCTAATTTTTTGTATTTTTAGTAGAGACGGGGTTTCACCATGGTCTCGATCTCCTGACTTTGTGATCCGCCCGCCTCGGCCTCCCAAAATGCTGGGATTATAGGCGTGAGTCACCACGCCTGGCCTTGAGGTTTTTAAACCTGAGGATAGGAGGCCTTGTATGAGCGGGTGTTGGATCGTCTGGCCCTAAGCGAGAGCTGGGTGTGATATGAGCCAGAAGCCTCTGTCCTGGAACCCATCTGTGCATGTGCTCTAGGCAGCCTCTCTGCAGAGTCCTGGGTGAGGCTCCTCCTGCTTCCTTTGCATCTCTGACAGGGAGCTTTAAGAAGACATCTGTAGCCATGCGCCTTGGCTCAGGCCTGTAATCCCAGCACTTTGGGAGGCCGAGGTGGGCAGATCACCTGAGGTCAGGAGTTTGAGACCAGCTTGACCAACATGGAGAAACACCGTCTCTACTAAAAATAAAAAATTTAGCCGGGTGTGGTGGCGTATACCTGTAATCCCAGCTACTTGGGAGGCTGAGGCAGGAGAATCACTTGAACCTGGGAGGCGGAGGTTGCAGTGAGCTGAGATCATGCCATTGCACTTTAGCCTGGGCAACTAGAGCAAAACTCCTTCTCAAAAACATAAAGAAGAAGAAGAAGAAGACACCTGTAGGCTCCTGCCCTTGACTTCTGGACTGGAAATAATGCATCTGCATTGAAGTCCTTATCTTAGCCGTTGTGTCATGTCTGGGCGCGGGGCTGAGGATGTGTCTGTTTATATATGCGTTGGCATGGTGAGTGTGTGCATGTACACATTTAAGCAGCAGGTGCTTATTAAGGTCCTACCAATCCCGCAGGACTCTTAGGAAACAACCTAAAATATAAGGCCTGTCCTTCTAGAACCGTATGACCTTGAAACTAAGCAGGAGGTGAGAATGTTCCCTGGATGGGGTTGGAACTGGTGCTGGGGGATGGGACTGGTGCTGGAGGATTGGGGTGGATCTGAGGTGGTGCTCTGTCCCGCAGTATGCCTTGTTTTGTTCGTCCAGGCCCTTCACACCTCGTGGAGAGAGTGCATGGGGCGCGTGCAAACCACTGACATGATTGGGACTTCCTAGTCCTGTGGCGGGGAGGGGTGTGGAGATAGAAACATGCAGGGATGGAGGGGTAGAACATTTCAGATGCAGCCTAGGGCCCAGGCAAGAGAGCAGTGGCAGGTGAGGGTGACAGTGGGCAGGACCCCAGTTGGAGAGACCCCTGACTCCCAGGCAAAAGGGCTATAGTACCTTGCTGGAGGGAGGGGAGTATTGGGAGGTTGTGCTTTGGGTGGGAGGGGCGGTGATGAAGTAGGGGCAGGAGGTTCTGGAGGGGAGGGACTGCCTGGCCAGGAGGGAACAGCAGGGGCTGGAGTGTTTCTTTCTGTTCAGGTGCCTGGAATCTAAGGGAGATGCTCTGGGTTCGTGGTGAGCCCCACAGGGAGAAAGCAGAGGATGTGGGAAGGCCTTAACTTCAGTAATGGGTTGGTGGCTGCCAGTGACCTTGAGCCAGAAGAATGTGCTGTGTGGGAGGTTTGGACAGCCCAAGGGAAAATGGAGGAATTATGATTCACTCGTCTACCTTTCTCACCCAATTTGGAAATATGGGCTTTTCCTTTCTTTCTTTCAGTAACCCTCTTTCTCATGAGAATAGGGCTTTTTTATTAATCTGTTGGTAAGTATTTATAGTTACTGAGAAATCAGAAGTCCAAGATGCAGCCCCTGCCTTTCCTGCTGGCGCCCTGGTCGTGCCCTCTCGAGCAGTGACGACGCAGGGGCTGGGCGGGAAAGGGCCGGCGCTGAGCAGCAGCCCTTCTTACCTGCTTTGGTTAAGAGATCTGGAGATGGAATGAAAAAGCTCTGGCTCTGCCTCTGAGACTGGTGGCCCTCCGACTTCAGTGTGCATCATGATCACCTGAGCACTTCGTCAAACCCAAGTTGCTGGTCCAACCCCAGAGTGTCTGATTTAGTGGGTTGTGGCGGGAGTGCTAAGAGTTTGCACTTCCAGCAAGTTCCCAGGTGTTAGTGATGCTGCTGTTCCAGCAACCACACTTTGAGAACCCCTTCCCTGGAGAAATGACCACACACGACTCTGCATCTCAGCTGCAGACTGGCATGGGCGGGGTCTTTGAGGAGGAGTCGGGCTTGAGTGGGCTTGAGGGCTAGGACGTCGTCAGGGGGAGGTAGTGGTACAGGAGGACCCGAGGCAGGTGCGGTAGGCTGGGGGCAGGTGGTCTTGGCTGCAGGCCCAGCAGTCAGGTCGCCACTGGAGCTTGGCTTCTGGGGACACTTGCTGCCCATCCAAGCATGCCTCGCAACTGCTGCACAGGTGCTTGTCATGGGCCAGTGGATAGATGTAAGCAGAACACAAAGGCTAGAGGTCTGCCAAGGGCCCACCTCCCCTCCCCGGAGTGGTGAGGTGGGGGGCTCAGGGGGACTTCACCCATTTTGAGAGGTAGGGCGTACACAGGCTTCTTGGGAGAGGCCCTTGGAGGCACGTTTTGCCCAGTGTATTGCTGCCAAAGAGTTGGAGTTAGCATTTGTTAGTATTTATTTTACTACTTTGCTTTCTTTTTACAGTCCAGAGGTCTTTTGGTTTTTATACCTGTAATGCCGTGAATTCCCAGGGAAGAGGTTCCAGCAGCTCAGGCCTCTACCCTTGGTCTTCACAGTGCCCTCCTCCAGGTGGGGCAGGCTGGCCCTTCCGTTGCACCCAGGTACTTTTCTCTTGGGCTTCCTTGTGTTTCTGGTCATTTTCCTGCACGCGTTCCAGGAAGCAGTCTTGGCTCTTAGAGCGCTCACTGTGCTCACTACACACATTCATTCTCTTGGCCAGAATCTTGCCCTTGTTTGTGTACGGCAATGC